GGGAAGGGAGGGGGCGGGGCCGAGGGGCTGCTGCGAACATCCGGGGAATCTCTGCGCTCCATCGTGTATCAGAGGCACGCGGACGCGCAGGGTTGGGGCGCCTGTCCTGGGCAGTCTAGCTTGGCCTTTCGACCGAGAGCACCCTGCCCCCCGGGCCGGGCGTGCAGTGGGGACAGCAGGCCGGCAGCGGGGGTGCCTTTTGTTTTAATTTTCCCAAGGTTGGAGTGGGTTCCTTTTCGAGTCACATGGGTCTGTGAAGCCAGGTGAACACGAGCACAGCGGAGACCTTGGGGTCACTCGTCCACCCTAAAGCGAACTGATGATCTGCCTCCGCCAGGCGCCAGGCGAGATGCCGGAAGTGGGGCGGGGCGGGCACCAGCACGGCCACTTACAGGCCGTGTCGCCCTGAAGGTGGGGTGTGGCGGGACAGTGGGAAGGTCACACCAGGTCTTACCAATCAGAGATCCGGACAAGACTCCTGCCATGGTCCACAGGCTGGTCGCCGATGTCCCCTGGAGAAAGTCAGTGGCCAAGAGCAACAGGATGCTGTTCTCCAGCAGCATAATCTGTGGGACAAGACGACAGTCACCACGCATAGGCAGGAGCACGTGGCCTTAGGGACAAACCCGGACTGCAGTTCTGCAGCACCTTCCTGGAGTGAGGACAGAGCCTCCTTGGGGCCACCAGGGCCCCATGGTGACCGGGCTCCCCAGAAGCAGGGTCAGGGTCCCCGACAAAGGGGGCTTGTCCCTGTTCTTAGTGCAGCTCCTTAAACTGTCTGCAGCTCATACCTGCACAGGAAGCATAAGGTCACAGCCCACATGGTGCCGGCTGCTCCTTTGGCGAGTCAGACGGTTCCCTCCTGCTTTACATGGTCCCCACTTTCGTGCTCACCGTACGCATGTATTAGCTTTATAACACAATAACTAAAAGTATCTGCAGAGTTCAGCGTGCCACTGAAACCAGGACGCTAGTCACAAACTTCAGTAAAAACTTCAGCATTTTTCCCAGATACTATTTGCCTCTTTAAAGGTAGATTTGGTCCACGGCCACCAGGTGGCAGCAGAGGAGGCACGCTTGCTGTGGACCCTGGAGCCTCTCCAGGGACCAAAGGGCCCCCTCCTGTGCAGAAGGTTCTTTGTCCTGCCCACCAGGCCGCAT